TTCGATGATCCTGTGATTGAGTATAACTGACACAAGTGTGGGTAGACATGGAACCTATGACCCAACAATCACCTCTTAATCTGTATGATGCAGTGAGCTTGAACATACAATCAGGGTGGACACACTTGATCTTGTACCTTTCTAGATTTACACGGTCCACCTTAAAATCGACCGAGTTGAGCATGTGGAATTTTTTGATGGCTCTGATACATTCTTCTCTGTTACGAAATTTGTCTTTCTCTTTTAAGTTTTCATCTGACTGCATATACGGATTGAAAAATAAATTAGAAGACGGTTCATCTCCGCCCATGTTGAAGTTTGTCATGTGCGGAGGTGGTGTGTAGATCTCGTTTGTAAGAATACCGGGTATCCCATCGTCTTCGGAATCATCATTGACCATTTCGTCAAACTCCAACTCGTCATCTTCTTCTTCTTCATCAACTGCATCTACTTCTGCTTGTTCGGTCTCCAAAGGATCAACCACTTGTGACAGCTGAGGCTCTCGCAGCATAATGTACAACTCAATAGAGTCGTACCCAAAATACTCATGACTGGAAAACATATTCTGAAGATCCTCGTCATCTTGAACCTCAACATTATAAAATATTATTTGGTTATTACCAAAAAAACCAGATTCTGATAAAATATTTGTGTCACGGGGCCTCGTCCAAGTTTGGCCTCCAATCGTTTTTTGAAGTACAAGAAATTGGATTTCCTGTTTAAACAAAATCAGATGGTCTCAGTGTCTCTAAAAAAACCTAGAGGTGTGACAAATGTATGTCTCACTGTTGAAATGTGCACTGATCACATATTGGGGTGCAGAGACCATTGTGTATGACTGTTTGAAGGTTTGAAGGTTTAAAGTTTATGAGTTAATTGCTGAAATTTTTGAATGTTCTAGTGTTTGAGAGATTAAGTGTATGAGTGTTTTGATAAATGTAAGATTAAATAGGTTGTACTGAATTTGAATTAACCAACATGCATCCAGAGATTCCTTCTCCAAGGCTGCCACCTATCTCGCGCCTACACTGCACCTACACTGCAACCTCTAAGGCACCTCCCATCACGTCCAATAGTGTTACATGCATTCAGAGATGCCTTCTCCAAGGCCGTCACCTAGCCTGCGCATACTCTGCAACCCATGCCACCTCTTATTCGCCAACAGGGATGGAGACACCTTTCATTTTTGTACTGTTTCGCCAAGTTCAATGGCACCTCCCTTCACATCCAATCGTGTTACATGCATCCAGAGATGTCTTCTCTAAGGCTGCCACCTAGCCTGCTCCTACATTGCACCTACACTGCAACCTCTAAGGCGCCTCCCATCACGTCCAATAGTGTTACATGCATTCAGAGATGCCTTCTCCAAGGCTGTCACCTAGCCTGCGCCTACTCTGCAACCCATGCCACCTCTTATTCGCCAACAAGGATGGCGACACCTTTCATTTTTGTCATGTTTCGCCAAGTCCAATGGCGCATCCCTTCACGTCCAATCGTGTTACATGCATCCAGAGATGCCTTCTCCAAGGCTGCCACCTAGCCTGTGCCTACACTGCAAGAGTGACACTTATCATGCATGCATGCACCCACCTACCACCTCACTGACTCTATGAAATTTTTTTTCCTATAAATACAGAGCATTACATACTTATATCGCATCCACAATCGTTTCACTCTCTGCTACAAACTCTTTCATAATCTCTTACAATTTCAAACTCTTTCATAATCTCAGGCATTTTTAACAATGGCTCTTCTCACAATGGGCGATTCTCACAGAGGCACAAGGGACAACATTGCAGCATTTGTAAGTTTCTTTTATACTTATACATTTTTCATACTTCTAGTAATGATTTGTTCATCTTACTTACCTACTCTTACACCTTTTACATTATTAACTTAGGATACTAAAAGATTCAGAATCCGGTCACACAACTACCTTTCTCCCGACTCGTTGATCGTACCATATCTCGATTACGCATGTTTCGGAAACGTTATAAAGATATCCAACTACACAATTGATTCAAAGTTCATACTTGCAATGTTGGAAAGGTGGATACCAGAGACCCATACATTTCATCTACCAATAGGTGAATGTACCATCACACTAGAGGACGTGTACATGTTATTGGGTCTCCCTGTCGACGGTAAGACGGTTAGCGGGTCGGTTCAACAACCCAATTCTGTGTGAAGAATTGTTGGGTAGGGATATGGTTGAAGGTGGTGGTGCGAGAGGTCAGAGTATACTACTAACTGAGCTAAAAAATAATTATGCGACTCTGGAATTGAACGAAAATTCCTCCGAGCTAGCTAAGGTAATAAAAGCTAGAACTTATATAATGATACTATTTGGAACCTTTTTATTTCCCGAAAGTACGAGAAATAGTGTAAATTTTATGTATTTAAATTTACTTAGAGACTTCGAAAAAACTAGAAAGTATAGTTGGGGTTATGCTGTTTTAGCCCATCTATACAGTTCCTTGTGTAAAAATGCAATCAAGGAAAAGTGTACATTTTATGGCCGCGCTTTTTTACTTCAAGCATGGGGTGGGTGGAGGATGGAGTCCCTAAACCCCGTCAACAACAACACATTCGTTTTCCCATACGCAACAAAGTAAGTCATCAAGTTATATCATTTATTACTATTCATCTCTTCACCAAATATATGATAAAAATATAATATTTTTCATTTCCTTTAGGTATTGCGTGAGGGGTATGGATTACGGCAAGAATCCAAGATTCAATGTCGCACTATACCGCAGTCTATTGGATCACCTTGGCCCGGATGATGTACGTTGTACCTTTCAACTTTTCTACTTTTAAATTATTTATATATTACATTTTCATTAACCTGATTTAATTTTATCTGCAGTTTGTCTGGAGACCATATTTGGGTTTGGGCCATGAACCAAACCCCGAGGATGCAGCAATTTGGAGCGCAAAGACTGCAATCATACGGTTCAATATTATGGAGATACACCACAACGATCGTGTAAAGATGCAATTTGGAATGCATCAAGAGATACCCAGCGATCCGACTTGTTTGTCCCTGTGGCATCTCAAAAGGGTCGACGCCCAATGGGGTCTTACCAATTGGAAAGACTTTGCTCCAGAATGGTGTAAGATGTGGCAGAGGCGTCACCAACATGTCTTGCAATTCCTAGTTTCCCTCAACCATGGTAATATGCGACACACGAATCAGTATTTATCTTGGTACAAATCGGTTAGTACCCCTGAAATGCATGTGTCTCATCCAAGGTATTTGGTTGACCCACGAACACAATAGGCACAACCCTCATTTCCCCAACAACAAACCCAACACACATCAACCTCCCACCAACCCCCCCGACGAAACAGAACCACAAACATCCAACCACAGTCACCACCACAATACAATTACACCCACATGCCCCACAACCAACCACAATCACCACCTCAGTACCAATACCCCCATATGCCTCACACCCAACCACAATTTCAATCATAATACCAACACACCCGCATACCCCACACACAATTTCAGTCTTCTGCATATCCCAATATGGGGCCCTTAACATCCAACCTTAGCCCTGATCTGGGATTGTCCGAAGATTATGAACTAACCGACCCAACTTACCATCAACCACAACATCACCAAACCACCCAACATCCTCAATACCAAAAACCCCAAGATCCATTTCCTTTCTACCCCCCGTACTCAGACGACCAGTGCTACAGACCAACCATAGAACCCCACCCACCACCAACACGACCAAACTTTGAGGGTATGGGTAACCCACTGTACCAAAGCGGATCTTCTAGATATGGAGATCTGAATGATTTCATGGATCCGAAACGCATTGAATTCGCTGGGCCATCGACCCTGCCACAGCAGGAAACACGACGAAACCCAGCACGGGAAAGGCGAGGACGGGGATGCGGAACCGGGGGTCATTACCGGGTTCCGGGGGAGCACTGATTAATCTGTTTTTTTATGTAATAGTTATGTGTGTAATCATATTTTGTAAATAAAAAGTCAATTTTGTTGATCCTATATCGAATACGTAACGCACCACATTGAAGAAAAAAAACGTGAAAATTTGCCTTCCAATTGCATTAAGGCGCCATCTCACTTGGCTTAGGGCAAACCCTTAACACCTAGGCGCCAAGTGAGATGGCGCCTCCCCTTAAAAACTAGGTGTAGGCGCCAAGTGAGATGACTCCTCCCTTGGGGAATTTTCTGAAACATGGTTATTTGCGTAATTTTTTTTCTGAAACATGGTTATTTGTGATTTTTTTTAATACATGATTATTCCAAAAAAAAAATCGATGTAAATCATTAAAAAAAAGACTATTAACTAACAATGTAAAATATGTTTATATTGTCAACCAATCAAAGAAGTATATTCTGCAAAGTTACACTTACTAATATGATATGGTTGAATGTTATAATTCTATTGGATGATGGTGTAAAATTAATTTACTATGATAAGTGACAATGTATTATCTTTAATCTCAATAACCAAATACAAAACCATTAATTCAAATATGAGAAAAATATATTTTACTTATAAATGAATTAAATTTTTTTTATAAAAAAGAGTAAATAAACATTTTTTAGTTAATTTTAATAAACATAAAATAGCATTTATAATAATCTCTAAATTTAATTGAGATAACCAAGGGTGTATAGGTTGCATAAAAAAAGAGGAGAGATGGTGTGTGATAGCAAACAGAATACTCCCTTGTTTGCGGGCTTCCAATAAAGTCTAATAAAACTCATAATAATAATCAAATTTAAAAAAGAAAAAGAAAAAAACAAATCACAATATTACAATTCAAAGTATATTCATTTATTTCATCTAAGGAGAAATCTATCAAATACACCCATTACATTCAATTATTACTACATCTTCACTCTTTTGTTTTTGTTTTTGTTTTCTTCTTCATCGTCCTCATCACATCACAATTCTCTGGCCACCGTAACCACCACCTCTGTTGGTATCTTTTGATCACCGGTCAACATGAAGGATAAACATAAATACAAGGATAAGGATAAGGAAAAGGAAATTGAGAAGAAAGAGTATCCTATTGGCGCCAAACATTATGTTATCCACGAAGAGATTGGTCAAGGCGTTAGTGGTTCCGTTTATCGTGCTATTTGTGTTCCTTTCAACGAGATGGTCGCCATCAAGATTCTCGACTTCGAACGTGACAACTGTGATCTGGTAAATTAGTTTTGAAAATCTCTAAAACCTTCCATAATTACACTTGGAAAACACATTTAGAAAATTTGCTAATACAATTTTAATTTCTGATGATTAATGATATTACTGATTAATTAATCAGATAGTTATTAATTAGTGGAATAACGATGAATGAAAGAATGCAGAATAATATATTTCGTGAAGCGCAAACTATGAAACTAGTGGACCATCCTAATTTATTGAAAGCATATTGTTCATTCGTGAGCGATCACAATCTATGGGTTGTGATGCCGTTTATGGCGGGTGGTTCGTGTCTTCATATATTGAAAGCTACACATCTCGAGGGATTTGAAGAGGTTATTATAGCAACCATACTTAGAGAGGTGTTGAAGGGTTTAGAATATCTTCATCATCATGGTCATATTCATCGTGATGTTAAGGCTGGTAATATTTTGATTGATTCTCGTGGTGCCATTAAGCTTGGCGATTTCGGTGCTTCGGCTTGTCTTTTTGATTCTGGTGATCGCCAATGGTCGAGGAATACTTTTGCTGGAACTCCTTGTTGGATGGCACCTGAGGTTATGGAGCAATTGCATGGTTATAACTTCAAGTATGTTCCTTATCTCCTTTCTAAAATATTATCATATTCCCTTTCTTACCCTTTTCAAAAAAATGCTAACATTACAATTAATCTTCCAGAGCTGACATTTGGTCATTTGGCATAACTGCATTAGAGCTTGCCCACGGCCATCCTCCCTTTTCAGAATATCCACCTTTGAAGGTATGTGCGCATGTACTAGTATATACTATTTTATCTCATTTTTGTTTAGTTTAAATTCATAACTCAACTTTCCAGGTATTGCTTATGACTTTGCAAAATGCACCCCCTCGCCTAGACTACGAAAGTGATTGGAAGTTCTCTAAGGTCGGCTCAAATCAGTTTGATTCCATCTTTAACTGACTCCAGCTAATATTTTATTCTCTGTTTCTTTCCAGTCGTTTAGAAAGATGATTGCTTGTTGTTTGGTTAAAGATCCTTCAAAACGATCATCTGCTAAGTTGTTGTTAAAGCATCCCTTCTTTAAGCAAGCACGTTCCAATGATTATATTTCACGCACACTTTTGGAGGGGATGCCTGCTTTGGGTGCTCGCATGGAGATTCTAAAGGATGCTTTCTCCTACCAATTCATTTCTTCCAAATTAAGAGCCAAATCAAGATCATACCGAGCTTTCCTTTCTACATCATGAACAATGTCATATTCACCCTGATTTACCATCTCATACTGGATTCTATTTAACTTCATTAACAAAGTTACTTTCTTTTGTTTTCATAATTCTAAAATTCTTATCAACAATATACAGATGACAACCACAAATTTTTGTCTTCCAAGAATTAGTGACGATGCCAAGACGTTTCTCGTGAATGGAACACATCTTCAAGAATTTGAACCGAGAAATGAATTTGACCTCCTCCAAGTCAAAGGACAATAAGAAGAGCACATGTCTAGTCCCTCCATCTTGCAAATAGCTCTCTATCCAGTCTCTTTTAGCTAAACCTCTTATCTTCCGACCATTACTTCAAGTGTATTTATTATCAGCTGTGAATACGTGAATAAAATGATTAGAATTATATCAATGGTGAAAGTCTTCCATTGAAATTTTTTGAGGTTCATGATGGGTGAATTCTTATTTACCCATCCAAAAATTATGAGTAAAGTTACTCGATGAGTTGTTAGAATGTGATTATATATTTATGTGTTAATCATTTATTTATGTAATTGCAATTCAACCCTTTTTGCATTAATGATTTTTCTCCTGTAACTTTGTCCATATGTTTTATAGGCATAAGTTCTCTACACATTTCCTTGTATAATTTATAACTTTTATAAGTTTAAGCTTTTACTTTTGACAATAAAATATTTATCACTATTATAATTTAGTTTTCTTAAATTTTCACATTATATTTTTTCAATATAATCAAATAAATATTGAACTAATAACGGTTTTAATTTTTTAATGATCTTTTAAATAGTGAACTAATAACGGTTTTTAAATTTTCAAAAATAATCTTATGGTTTACTATAATTTTGCTTTTAAAATCATTATATTATTAAATTAATTACTGAAAACCTGTGTCTCTCCATACAGCGGTTGAAAACAAGGTATGGTTTTATTGATAAGCATATTTGTCAAATGTTTGTCTCGACAAGCTCACTTTATTTTGTCTATCAAATCAAATAAATATAAAAAGTAATATTTAAATTACTATAATTTATACCGAAAGAATACTAACAAATAAAATATATAAATATTAATGTTAACGTTCAATAATAACATCAATACTTACATCAAATATTAGTTACCCTAAATAGAGTAAATAATATATATTTTTAAGATATTTTTTAAAATAAAATATTATTATAAAAATATTATTAAAATTATTTTGTGACACAAATTTAAAGTTGTGGCATTAATCAATTTTACCATTACGTTAACCATAAAAATATAGATTGTTAACTATTTGTTTTTTTTAAAATAATTTATTAATTATTTTCTGTACTTTATTAATTAATAAAAAATATAATATTAATTATTTTCATATATTAAATTATAAAATATTTGAACCAATCTTTATATTATATTAATCATCTTTATTTTTTGTTACTTAAGGTGTTCTTATATTTGAATATTCATTAATGTATTAACTAATATTATAAATACCATTAATCATAATTGATTTATCATGTAAGATTTTATTTGCTTTTTTAATAAGCAAAATGTTATTAATGAAAGTATAAAGGGATACTCCATCCGAAACAAATAAAACAAATAATTCTGACCTAAAACAACGGAGATCTAAGATATTCCAATCATAGAAATTACAAAAGACCAGAGAACTTACAAATCAAACACATCCAAATCCAAGACTTATGAATGATAGCCGACAAGCAATCATCAAAATTAAACACAACTCCTTTGAAAAGCACGACGTTACGCATCAACCAAATGTTCCAAACATAAGCCAACCAAACCGCTCATACAGTTTTTCTATCCAACCTATTCTTCACCTTTTGACAATATTAAAAAATAACCCACAAACTCACCCAAAGACAATTCCAAGTTGATTCCAATCCACGAAAAGACCTTGATCCAGATTCTGGTTGTGAAAACACACTGGCTGAACATATGCGATTTGGTTCCAACTTCCCTAAAATAAAAAACACAACACTTATCTTTATCATCCGTTAAAATACCATGTCTAATCAATTGATCTTTGGTGGAAATCCTACCGAGAGTGAATCTCCACCTTAAGAGCGATACGTTTGAAAGAACCTTTACCTCCCATAAATACTTTAGAGCGTTCAACACAACTTCATAATACAAACTATCGTGAGAAAGCGAAGTGAGATATTCAGAGTAAGACTTAATCGAAATAGATACGTTGTCTTCCTTCAACCAAACAAACTCATCGTTCCTATTTTGCACCAAGTCTACATTCAACAATGACTCTTTGAATTCTTCCCAAAGAAATGGGGTCTACATCTTCAAGATTTTCCATTATGTCCTGAAACTTCGAGGACCAAGAAAAATCAACCCAGATTATTGCATCCGCCACACTAATATCCTTGTTGACTGTAGCTTCATAAATGTCTGGATACATCAAAGATTGATTATCCAACCACATTGAATGCCAAAAAGTTGTCTGATGTCCATAATTGACCCTGCACTTAATGAAACCAGCAAAACCAAAAGGGGAAGCAATGGATAAAGAATTAGACAAAATCAAATTAATGTTTGAACATTCAATAACCAAATTAGGGTCTATATTAATCAACTTATTACACTCAATTAATTCATTTTTTTTTCCAATTTTTTAATGTCGAAACATATTAACCAATGAAGAAAAGTCAAAATTGTGAACATTGCTTTTCACTTTATTCATGAATAGTTAAAACACAATGTAGGTTTAAGAAATTAGTATCAAAATAGCATTTTTCATAAAATATCTCAATGAAAAATTATAATAATTAATATTATTCTAAAATTATATATGTATCTTTATTGTCTTGTTATTTTTCATGGATTACCGAATGTGTATTCCTTTGAACTTAAATGAAGACAGTGATTTTAGTATCACCAATGTATTTTAATAGTAATGTGATTTATTAAAGGCCGATGCAATTATGCGTTAAGCTTGGAAATGAGTTAGGAAAGTGCGGAGTGCACGCTCGTCGAGCCAATGTATAATTGAAACGGGGTTCCAAGGAGAAAATTTTGAATCCTTTTCCGCAACCGACATAACCGTTTTTCCGAACAGGTGTGTCTTTTCGGTTTCAGTTATTGATCTCCTATATAATGAGTCATTTGGTCTCGGTTTCAAATACGAAAAACGACACTTTCTCTCTACATTTGTAATCAGTTTCTTTTGCCAGAAACAAATTGTTCTTCGAGAATTATCCCCACAAAGATTTCGTGAACCCAGGCAAGAATAGGGTCGAAATACTTTGTTCGGAAAGTGTACGAACACGATTCTTCGAAGTTATCCAGGATTATCATACCCAAATATCTAACAATTCTATCATTCGATCGTTCATGGAAATCCTAACATTCTTGATGATGAGACTTTGAAAGTCAATGCTTTCTTTTTTGTAGAAAATCTTAAGAAATCAACCACGGAGTTTTTATGACATGTTTATCTCACGAATCAAACTCGATATCTCAAGAATATCACACTCTTAAGAATTTAAATGACCTGCATGACCACTTACAATAATTTCTTCCTCAAAAGCTAAGTTTTACTTGCAAGCACTAAGGCAATATCAAGTGAAAGAAAATATTTTCTTGAGAGGGGGACACAAATTTAGAGAGATAAATTCCAATGAAAACTTTTAACGTTGGAAATTGGTGCATAATGAATAGGAGGCGAGCCTTCTTTATATATGAATTGGAAAAACCAAAAGAGGAAATGATCCATGGGCATAATTGATTAGCCAATTAATTGGTATTATGTTCCAATCGATTGACCAGGTCATTTTTAATTGATTACCGTGCCCGAATAATCCATCTGTTAGACTCTTCTTCAATTTATTTCTCATGTCTTGATCCTCGAAGATCATGTTCTTGGTTAGGGGACCGTTTCAATTCGTCAATCAAATAAGATGTTTGGTTTGTTGATGGGTAACTGAAAGAATTCAAGGACCACTATATTTTGTGATGTTTCTGCCTCTCACTCTTCCCCCTCTATGTGTCAGGAGAGAGTTAGTAAGTATTAGTTTTGCGACTGACCATCTTTCATTGTATGGAGATTCAATAGCTTCTCTCATAAACTTTTATGAAACGAGTAAGGTTGTGGAGGCCATGAATGTTGTTATGGCTCCCCTTCTTCTAGTTCTTATGATATGAGTTCCGACCAACCAACCCAACCCTTTTTCTGCTTTGTTAATTCACAATCTAACATATCTCATCCAACTTCAACCAATTAAGGTGAACGGCGAAGCAATAAGTCCTATAACACTCTTCCTTCTTCGACAAACGACCCTAGTAAAAAAGGTCCAGATAAGGATCCCTTCGTAGAAGGTGATGGATAAAAGACAAAAGTTTCTGATTCCTGTTCTACTTGGATATCTCTTGAAACCCTCACCCTTCTTTTATCTCAAGTTCCCTTCTTGGGAAGCAAGAAAGTTCTTAACTAAAAAGAATGTTGTTTATGTGCAAAATCTTTCTGATACTAGGTAGATGGATTTGGTGGTCGACACGACATACCCCTTATTATTTGGGGCCTCTTTGTTGACCTTAGCTGGTGTTGGGTGAGGTGATGTGATCGTGCTCGATGATCGTCTGAAAGAGAGGGACCAGTGGAAGAACAAGTGCATATTGATAACATGTGAGTGAACTGCTCTTTTTGAGAAGGTACTAAAACTCCAAGCATAATTGACTCAAACTAAAGAGGAGGTTGATTTATAGAAGGTTGAGGCTTGTAAGTGGTCGAATCTTCAAAAAGAAATGGAGATTCATGGCACTCCTTATACGATGGCAATCAAAGCTTTGCTATAGTGCATCTATTAGTGCTTCGTTAATCCCTTATTGGACCTTTGTCTTTTAAACCTTGTGGATGGTCATAAATAATTAAAAACTCTAACATATAAAGAACAATTAAAACTTAAAATTTATTTGCTTTGCATAATTAACGATTCTCTTAAAAAGTAAGTTTAAAGTTTAATTCTCAATTTTTCATCGTTTTAAGTTTT